CCCGTCTTTAGGACAATTATGCTGACGCATATTAACGCAGGGCCGATATAGCCCTTGTCGCTGGACATTTCGTCAAGCGCGTAGCCATTTACGACATAACCGCGTTTCGAGCTACCAGTCCCTCCTCTCAGGAATCAGGGCCAGAAACTGTTTGGAAGCATTTTCAGGAACCCTTATCCGTGTTTCAGTATTTCCAACGTCTAGTATATTTTATCAACACTCGATTATGGATTATTCGCTGCAGTTTCTTACCCGTCCAGTCCGCAACGGACCGTAGCACAGTGACACTAGCGCAGATATTTTGTCTATATAAGTGGCCAGCATTCAGTCTACCGTTGAACGCCTTCTCCGTCTTTATTCGGCAGCCAAATGCCAAGATGAGAACTGCCACGTGCCTGTTTGCGGGGGCGTGCAGACAGGCACAAATCATTCGGACAGCACGAGTGAAATCTGCGATGCTAATTATTATTATTTAGGCTTATAGACTGTCAAAAACATTTATGCTTTTTGCTGGCGATAGGCTTGGAAAACGTTTACGTCCCGAAGATACCCTAATCAGTGAATACATAATTTTACCATCGTTTATACGCATAGGCGACTACACTCTGCACTAATCCTGCCCTACTCAATCTAACAGTGGATATATATTCGTATTTAGCCCACCGTCTTTACTTGTACTTGATACGGCCGTGAACATGTCTGATCTAGCCGGCTTCAATGACAATGACAATTGGTGGCAGCAAGTCTGGAAACTTTCGTCCGTTCTCTTCTCCAGTGACGGAGCCTAAAAACTGAAGGTGCAAAAACCGCATCCATTTCCTGACGAACGGTGTCGAGCCACGTCTTCTTCGACGCCTTCAGATTGGCTGCAGCGCCGGATCGAGGGTAGCAAAGCATTATCGTGAGATGGACGGAGAAAGTGTCCAAACCACCTCAGTCGATCTGCTGGGAGCAGTTGTGGACCAGATCTCGCGCGGTGGTGGAGTGATAGTGGACATCAATCATGGCAGTGATTTTGTTACTCCATCTAGTTCCGTTATTCACCGGAGGGACTCAGGGTGGAACGAATCGAACGTAGCGGCGAAGTCGACAAAGCAGACGGCTGCTGGTAGCCATGGCGAACTTACAAAATGCGCCTCAGTGTGAATGTCTGCTTTACGCATCCACGTCCAGCTCGGAATCCGGTTTGGTTGGGCCTCGTCCTAGAGTTTCGTACGGATTGAAATCTTCTGGGAAGGACAATGGTGAAGACCTTAGCAACAACGCCGATGAGGCTTATGCAGCGACAATTCTCACATCGTGTTATCTCCCTTTCTAAAGGCGGGCATAAGGATATCCGAAACCCAGTCATTCGGAACTATCTCGTCGCTGCATGTTTGTTCGATCTATCGTCCCAGGCTTTGCCTGACAATAAATTTCCTTTGGTGCGTCATTTTCGCTAATAAAGGTCACAGTGCTGTCCAGTGGGTGCTCTAGCATTCACAATCCACACTGTGCTTGCCTCACATCCCCGTCTGCATCTGAAAACAGCGCTCTTACTAATGATGCTATCTGAGCGACAATTTGGCGTGGGGGGCTTTTCTCACCTAAAAAACCTCTTACGACAGCTTCTGAGGTTCTGCTGCACCTAACTTCGTGGTCTAGTGAATTACGTGGCCCAGTTAAACAACTTACCGGATGTTCGTTATACTCTGGCTAAAATATGAGGTCAAATCTTAAACCGTTTGTCAGGAAATAACTGAGACCGTTTTAAAAAATATTGCTTGCCTGAGGCAATTTGATTTCACATATTCTTTTAAAAGAAAATCTATATTATTTTATAATCCATATAAACATGTTTTCTACTCATCTGATGACTACCCTTGCGTTTAGAGTCAACTCCATCTATCAAAAGCGCTGTGCGATATCTGGTGTTCTGTTAATAAGATACATTACTCCCTCCAAATAGAGAGGCACTTAACTTACTACTCACGTCGTGTACTGTAAATCGCTGAAGCAAATGTGGTACTATAATTTTATGTTCGCAAATCGCTATAGTTTGTGCCTAAGGGTAAGCTAGCTCTGTTCTCTTGTTTTGTGGTCATGAACCGAGAAGGTAAGCAATATCAGAAGTTGGATCGACATGACCGATACTAGAATAGCATTTGCGTCTGTACACCAAATCTGTGCGCATAAACACAGAATTGTGGTGTGCCGGTGAAACCAAAGTGGTGCACCAATTCTACCATAAGGCTAAGGCCATAGACGTAGTTTCCCAGCGGCCGGTCTTTTTCTGTGGTGCGCCGAACCTTTTGGACGCTAAAATGAACACACACCTACATATATTTGGTGTTTCGGAGTAACCTATATACTTCCCCAGTGTTAAGCATGCTCAGTGTCAAATAGGTCCGGAACTGCTTCTGCATGATTCATTATCGTTCTCAGGACATGATACTGTAAAGTTGGAAGGAAAGTCGACCGACTTGCTGTCAAAAGTGACGTTTACTGTTCGAACTATAATCTTAATATATGCACTCCGCTTGCTGACTTGCCTCATGGATAAGATTCAGGCAAAACTAAAATTTGGAATCACGCGCCTACAACGTTTGTTACTCGTAGAACTGTCGTCGTGGTGTTGTGTTTCGTTGTCTTTTGTGCAGCACGCTTTCCTTGTCCAGCATGTTTCTTGTGCAGGGTTCTCTTATAGCAACCCCTGTGCGTATTGACTTGCACTACTAAAAGCAACAAACTAACCCTATTCCATTCATATGCTTCTAACGTCCTTTTACTACTATTTTAAGGTAACTTTAGAGGCGGACCTGGAGGCAGAAACGGTGGTGGGGCTGGAGGCTACGGTTATGACAGACCTCGTGCCGGTGGTTATCGACCAAAAGTTCAACAACCCATGCAAGCGCCGGAGCCAGCGCCTGCGCCAGCTCCTATTGTAGACTACGAAGATCGGCCTCGTCTTTCTCTTCAACCAAGACGTAAACCTCTTCATCAATCTACTGAGGAACGCGAATTGTCAGAACGTGCTAAGGCCATATTCGGCGTCGGCAAGCCCCGATCACCAAGTCCTCCTGGGTAGTCTACCTCTTATTGGCTTTTTTAACGGCGGCCAGGCAATTTTGCCAAGTGAGTCTTTCCACGGGCTTAGCAGCCGGCTTGATCAGAGGCCTGTTTTCAAACCTTTCATGCTGCAATACTAACGTTTGCTCATGCAGGTTTGGCCATACCTCCGATAAAAGAGCATGCATGAATCATGGTTGCTGTTCAAAGACTTCCAGGTTGGACATCACCTAGGCCAGAGATCGGGAACCTTTTTAACTCAGAGAGCCAGGAAAGTAAATATTTGGAAATATATTTCAATAAGAGCTATATAATATATATTTTAAGATTGAATTCAATTAAATATGAGTATAATGAGCCTCTGGATTTATTCTTTGGAGGAACCAAAATTATAAAATCTTACGTTTCTACTTCCAGTTTTATCTGAGAGAGCCAGATGCAATCATCAAAAGAGACACACCTGGTTCGAGAGCCATACGTTCCCGACCCCTGACCCAGGCGTACCCATAGTGTGAATCCTTCTGGTTATATCTTTCTATATTTACGGTAGTGCATTCTCCTCCTCCCCCTACTTGCGCACCACAAGCAATTTGAAAGATTGCTAGAAGGCAAGCATCCTATGAGGTCCTCTGGCGTCATGTCATTACGAAAGTCGGCCATAATTGCCAGGACAGAAAAGCTTGGAGCGAAATGCAACCAAGGTGGCATGCCACCCACAAAGTCAAGACTGTCAGCTCATTGATGTCAGCTTACGTCTGCGTGTGTTTTCAAGTCAATTGGGCCGAAAGTAAATGCCCTGGTCACGACTTTGCCCTCAAACCGAACTTATAGGATCAAGCAAAATATGTTCTATCAAGGTGTTGACAGCTAGACTGGTTTTACCAGTGAATAAGTTACCATGAAAAGGCGAAACCTCCGTGTGACAATGAACCGAAGCATCAGGAACTCCCTTAAAAATTTAGATGATTTCAACAGCTCGAAACATGTTATCTACACGGTGGTAGTGCAAAGGCCAACACGCACAGAAGTGCCTGGCGCCAGAGGTGTGCTTCATCACCTATGTTACTGCCATGTCTGAGCTCGAGGCG